AAGTTTGTTGGGCCACTCACTGTATTAAGAATTATTGAAAAAGTTTGTCAACTGTATGTTAGGGAAAATGGAAATCAATTTGAACATTCAATTGTTTTAGTAAATATTTAATCAGGTGCTTATCCTACATTATGACATTTTTATTACTATTTATTTGTTGCTATCAGGTACCCAAGTTCAGTATTTTGTTAATTAATCAGTGTTGTTATTGGTTTTGACCTCTCCATGGAAAAATTTAAAGAAATACTTCTTCTATTGGAACGTTCTTTATAAGAAAAATCCATAGCCAACCAGCAAAATTCAATATTTTAGTGATTTTGAGCAGTTTTGAAAATTTTATATTTATTCATTATATATCATTTTGAAGGCAAAAAAATAAATAATTCGATGTGCTTATGAAATACAGGGTGTTCCCTTTAAAAAATCATAAGTTTGAGTCGTATCTCCAAAACCATACCCCGAAAAAAAAAATTAAGTGCGCCACTGGATTCTGCGTAAAATTCTCTATGCGTTAAGATTTCGATTTGACATTTTCGTGAAGAAACTTCATAGATATAGAGGGGGTCCAAGAAGTATAAATTTTCAAAATAGCCCTGTACCTCATAAACGGAAACAGTCTTGCAGAATCTGATCAAGTCATCTTGAGTTTCACGAAAAAGTGGCACAGGACCGCGAAAACCGCAAGGTTCTATCTCCAAAGATAACTGAGATATCACGCAAAAGCATCGAAAACTGGACACACTGTACATAAAGAATTTTGAGCAATATTCAATGTAGTCCCACCCTGTATTATACACTCCTGATTGAAATGTTGGAATAATTTCATTTCTACTGCATTCGGCATGGAAATTCCAGTGCTCGTACCAAACTGCATCTTTTTATTATATACATGGAGTTTCAGAAATATTCTCAGGAGCCCCCTTCTAGGGGGCCGTAGCTCCCTTAGGAGACGTTTCTTGACTCATGTTCATTGAAAGTTCTTTTTTTGTTGTTATAAAAGCCGCTGGGGAAGTATGGCAGGCTAATTTCGGGACACCCTGTATAACCGGAAATCAGGCCACAACGCATCTATAAATTCCGTGTATCTCTCATATTCTTTTATTTTCACCAATTTGGATAAGAAAGTCGGATTTTGATGGTTATCACATCTATGTTTCTGATGATACTTTATATTTTACTATTGCACAATTGGCGAAGTTTAGATTGAGATACGGCTGTGACATAACACATACATGACACGGAATATTACCTGAATAAAATCAATACTCGAAACCAAACTTATATTCTCCTTGATTCATGTTGCAATGCTGAAAATCACTGAGGAATAACTGCATCATAATTCACATAGAAGAAATCAGATGGTCTAGGATGGCGATCTCCTTTGTCGAGTGTATGACGTACCAAGTTATGGATAATACGTAGATGGCGCAGAAGATTTCCTTTTTGGGACGTTTTGTATGTACATTTGTGGCATATGAAAGAAGGTTCCTTGCCACAGTCATATTTTACATGTCTTCTCAGCGCATTTACAGAACGATATCTTCTATTGCATGTATCACAAGAAATGTTTCCTAAAAAAGGAGAAGAGATATTGAAGGACAACAAAACTAATCCAGGAAAAATATTGTAAATTACATCAAAATAATCATCAGCTGCTTTGATAATATTGATTTATTTTCTCAGCAACACGAATGGTTCAATCATAAATCTAAATACGTTCAATTAATAAAGGCGAGGACAATATACACTAAAAAAAATAGTCGGTAGTAATTATCAAACGCCCAGTAAATTAGGTGAAAAATAATTTTGCTCATAAAAAGAGAAGGCTGAGATCGATTCTCATAATTTTTGGCATGGCATGTTCTGTGATTGTGAGTCATGTTTTGAGATATGTTTTTGATCGTCATCAGTGACCTGCAAGTGTTTCAAACAACCATGTTGCCGAACAAATTTGGTGATAACTTTTCAGAGGTCGAACTAGAAACTTCTTGTTTTTTTTCCAGAAAGATATGTCCTTCAAAAATATTTTTTGTATCGTGTTAGTTTTTGATAGGTCTCGAGGTTCATTTGCAAATACATAATTTCTGATCTGAGGCATCTGATGCATTTTTTAGAAAAATGATCTTTTTGGGACATGGCTTGAATGTAGACTCCTGGGATAAAAATAAGTTGATTTTAGCCAACTCACCTATATCCAAAATCGTTTCGTTGAGTTGGTACAAGGCCTCACCTTAGGTACTGAATAGTTATCGTCAAATTTGTAACGCAAGAGTTCTTGTAAAGCCCGAGAGGACGAGCAACATATCAGTTTGTTTACAATAAGAATACATTGTAGCCATGATCAATAAACACTCCGACAAATTTATTGATATACTTATATAAAGTATTCGGTGCAGTACATACAGAGTGACATTTTGAAAGCTCTCCACCCTCAATATCTTTCTTTAATTCAATAATATGAAAAATCGAAAAGACAGGACACTCAGAATGGATATTTTATCCCTCTTGGTTCAACCTCCCAGGAGGGAGAGATATTATATTACCCTTAGAATGTCAAATGCAATGGGGGGGTCAAGTAGCACATCATTTTGAAGGCCGTTCAATTCTCTTCTCAACGGCACCTTAGTTCATCATTTTCTGTTGAGAAGTTTTCAAAAAATAACGTGTCGATTAGAAGACTTTCCTACCTTAATATTGTCACGATAAAATAGATGGTTTCTCCACCATGTCCCGATGAAATAGAGATGGTTATTTCCATCCATATCGATTTATAAGGGGTAATGCTTGGCTTGATAGTTTGCGAGAGGTAATATTCGAATAGGCACTAATAGTCTAGGGGTAGCTGAAAGTACGACTACGACACTATATTCAAATATAACAATATTTATTATAGCATGAAACATTATGGGTGAAGTGATGATAAATATGAATAAACAACAATGAATGTAAAGACCGAATAACAACTTACATTATAATGACCATTACGACGAGCTCGGGTCAAGTCAAGAGTAGCCCCAGACCATACTAACTTTAATTTATATACATCATTTTATTAGATATGCACGTTCCTTGGTCAGTTTTTATAATTCAATGTCAACGGATGATTTGATTAACTTTATGTTCGTAAAACCCTCATGGTTCGGAATTTCTAATATACCGTATGTTCTACTCGTGACAATATCTTTCTTTCAGTAAATAATATCGAAAATAGAGAATACAGGACAATTTTTCAAATGCTTATTTTCAGCCCTAATGGTTCCTAGAAGGGGTAGCTGTTACTCTTAGAACCTCATATGACAAGGGGGGTCAAGATGCACATTATTCAGAAGGGCCTCCAATTCTCTTCCTAACAGTTTATACTTCTGTGATGCTTACCGAAGTAAATAGAACATGCCTACACTGAGATGCATAGTATTAAGGTTAGTATTATTGTATTTACTCTCCTTTATTCAGTTCGAAATCTTCCAACCATTTGAAGTGAAAGAAGAATGAATTCAATAGAACTAACCTGAAACCATGCATCCGAGTGCAGGCATGTTCTTATTACTTCTGTGAATTTATATCGAATTGAAAAATGATGAGATATAGGGTTTTGTTGGGAAGAGACTTGAACGCCCTCTGAAATAAGGTGCATTTTGATCGCCTTTCATATGAGGTTCTAAGGGTAACATCTACCCCTCCTAGAGGGTTGAACCATTAGGGCTGGAAATGAGTGTCCCCCTTGAAAATGGAATTGACCTGTTTTTTTGATTTGTCACTGAAAGGAAGACATTAAGTGTGGCCATTTTTTCAATTGACTTGGCATTTACCAATACACTACGGTAATGTTCGATAGAGAATTGAATGCCCTTTGAAATAATTGTGCCACTTGACCCCCTTCGCATTTGAGATTTCAAGAGTAACATCTTGATCTCCTATTGGGTTGAACAAGAGGGCTAAAAATATTAATTTTAGGTGTCATCCTTCAAAATGACATTGACCTATCTTCTCGATTTCTCATATTATTTACTGGAAGGAAGATATCGAGGGTGTATATATACCCACAAAAATTTACTCTTTCCGGTCGGGCTACAAACTTATCGCATCAATATCAAAATTGCCTCTTCAGTCTATAAGTTTGTAATCTACCTATATTTTGAAATCGAGGGTTATCAGGAATGATTATAAATGAAATGAAAGACTCCAAGGTCGACTCCAAGTCGGTCGACCACACTTTATATAAAAAAAAATTAGAAAGTGTCAGGGTTTCGGCACAATCGCTACTAATTTCAAGGCAAACATGTATATGGTGTCAGAATAAAACACCTTGTATCTTGTTTTGTCTACTCTTCTCATTTATTTATTTCATTTCCTCTTCTGCTTATGTCATATCTTCTTTCTATATTATTTTTCTTCTTCTCACTATTGATTGCTAGGTTGTGTATATTAGTTTCCTCTGACATTGACAATGAATTTCATATTCCTGTCATTTGTCAACGTTGTCCCATGTCTACATTATGTCAATACTGTCAATTCTCCAGATAGTTCTTCTATGTACACCTTTATTTTGACAATGTTCTTTACATTCAGCTTTTTTTGAACTTGTGATCGAGTAAAAACATTTTCATCTTTTTTGAAATGATCAATCTCATTTCAGAGTCAGATTTTCCTGGCAAAGGATGGAACTGAATCCAACTAATCTCGATACTGATTATTCTATTTAATTTCAATGGCACTGTTTCATTTCCAGACCCATAACAGGTTTGTTTTATTGTGACACCATATACATGTTTTTCCTTAACATTAGTATTGTATTTTTGGTCGTTTTAGTCGGAAGATGGCCGTTGTGCCGAAACCGGTCACTTTAATTCAAGTTTATTTAATTTTTTTTTATATATAAAGTAAGGTCGACCGACCAGGAGTCTTTTATTCCATTTATGAATACTGTGGGGCCACTTTGAGAATGGATCATTCTCATAGTTTAGGAATGATTATATTGAATACATCAACAATGAGTGGGGAATATGCAGCTTTATTAAGATGATCATTGCCCAGAATCAATATCCTTATTTAAATGACAGTAACTAACGTTTGTATATAATATGTGTGTACATATAAAAAGAAAAAGTAACAGTACTTGGATAAAATTTATAAACATAACCAGTGATCTCTCAGTTTTTCAATTTACACCTAAATTCTCTCATTCTACTAGTAATCGAGATCCCTTCATTTATCTCATAGAAGAAAGTCGAGATATAAAATCAAAAAAAGTTCTCAAATTCATATTGTACTCTATGTTGGAGACAAAGTGAGTTTTTATCAAAATATCCACTGCAGTCAAAAAGTTTTGCTCCCCGTATGTTACATTACTGATCGGTATGATATTGTCGTAGCAAACGAGATAGTATTTTTCGCAGTATCTTTTCGATTGACCCACTGCCAACAAAAAGGGGTGTTCGGATGTCTTCGTCTTCATAACTTCAGCAAGTGGTACTTCGGATTGAAAAAAAACAACCAACCGATCAAAATCATCAATTTCGTGTGATTTTTTTATTCTTCATGTAGTGTGTGAAATAATATGAAACTTGAGGAAAAAGGAATCTCAAAGCTGAAAGATAATAATAATAATAAATCGTCTTTATTAAAATCACCAAAAAAAAAAAAAACAATCATATAATAATTTGAACTATTCGAAATTGATTGTCTGATAATAAGAGGCGAGATTTAGCCTAAGGCTATTCTTACATCTAACCTCTTACTATAGACAGATGTGAAAGTGAAAAATTGTGGATTATGATTAATACATTGCTAGGATAACATTCAAATATAAATGAAGAAACAACTATTTAAATGCAATCAATTTAATTGTGATGAAAATAATTCATGTTTGATGAATTTTCGGAACGGAACTAGTTCAAGACTTTTAATATGTTCTGGAATTGAGTTGAATATTTTGACAGCATTATAAGTGAAACTCCTCTGGTACAAGGACGTGGAATGATGTGGCATAGTTAAAGCATTAGGATGTCTTATATTCACTGAATGTATACTGGATCTTCGAATAAAATTATATCTGTTTCCATCTGATGTAGTCATAAGAGCTTTGTATATAAATAGAGCTAAGTGAAGCCTCCAACGGTTTTCCATTGTCAACCAATTGAGGTCATTCAGTTTTTGAGAGATATGATCGAATTTTCGTAATCCATAAATAAACCTCACGCAGAAATTTTGTACCTTTTGAATTTTATATTTATGAGATCCGTCTAGACAAGGTCCATACAAGAAATCACAGTAGGAGAATTGCGACAAAACCAAACTGTCACATAACATCTTTCGTAGCTTGAAACTTAACGCAAATCGATTATTATATAATGTTTTGAGTGAGATAAATGACTTGCTCAGTATATTTTTAACGTGAGTTTTAAATCTGAGTTCATTGTCAAATACTAAGCCTAAATTTTTTGCCGAATGCACAATACTTAATGGAATATTATCAATAGTTATATTCAAATTCATAGATATCTCATTATAATAGTTTTTTGGGCAATAAATAATTATTTTTGATTTAGAGGAATTCAGTTTCAGGTTGTGAGACCGGCTTTTTCTAAAAACTTTATCGAGATCATTATTAAGCTTATTTTCAGCCTCAAGAAGATTACTTTTAGAAAAACTGATTGATATTTGAGTATCATCGGCATATGCTTGTACTTCACAATGTTCTACAGAATTCAAAATGTCCGCAGTGTAAATTATAAAAAAAAGAGGACCCAAAATACTTCCTTGAGGGACACCAGCTGTAATGTCGACATAATTTGAATGATTATCATTCGAAACTATTTTTTGTCTTCTTCCTGCGAAATAAGATTGAATGAGAGTTAACGAGTCAATAGAAAATCCATAATATTTTAGTTTTGCTATCATAAGTTTGTGGTTTATGGTATCAAATGCTTTCGAAAAATCCAATAATGTTAGCATACTGACATATCTCTTATCCATATTAGAAAAAATATTATCGAGAACGCGCGTCAACGATGTGGTTGTGCTGAGTTTCTTTTGAAACCCAGTTTGGCACACAGGAATTATTTTATTTTGATCAGCATGTTGTGATATTTGTTTATATAAAACTTTCTCGAAAATTTTTGAAAGGCATGGTAGGATACTTATGACTCGAAGATCTGAGAATTCTAGAGGTGTGGAAATTTTGGGTAGAGGCCGACCTAAAGAAATTTTCCATAGTGATGGAAATTGATTTTTTTCTATGCCATAGTTGATTAGGTGAGTGATAAAGGGGTCGATAAATGGGCTGCAATATTTCAGCATTGTGACACAAATATCATCTATTCCGTATGCATTAGATTTAATTTCGAATAAGAAATCATGTACTTCATCAATTGTCGTCATTTTGAACTCAAATTTGGTAGCATTATCGTTAAGAAAATTCCTATCGTAAAAATCAATGGAGTCTCTACATACGTCATCACTACATTCGGTCCAAATTCTAGAGAAAAAGTCATTAATGTCATCAGGGTTGGATAAGTCATCTGGGATTGAATTGAGTTTACCACCAACAACTCTCATGTTTCTCAAAGTTTTCCAAACATTTTTAGAGTCATTGGTTCTACAAAAGTTTTCTAAGTATCCTCGTTTTTCATTCCTGAGTGATGTGAGAGTGAAGTTACGTAGCTGCTTGTACGATGACCAATCAGCAGCAGTTCTAGTTGCTTTATATTTTCTCAGAGCTCGGTCACGCTCTGACATCAAAATTTTTAAATTCTGTGTCTATCTAAGATCTATTGCCAGCTGATGCAAGATCTCTCAGTCTTGTGATGCCCGAATATGTTCCTCATCATTTGTTAGTATAGGTTGTATATTCAACCAATAGTCATGGAGAATATGTCATTAGAAAAATTTCTAAAAAAATTTACTTTTTTTCAAGAATTGCAAAAGCACTGTCCATATTTGCTAGAGTAACAATTTACAATTCTATTATTAAACCTGACTTTGACTATTGTGCAACAGTGATTTACTTATTTAACCAAAATCGAATTTCCCAACTGCAAAAGCTTCAAAATAGAGGAATAAGACTAATACTGAAATGTAATAGATATACTCCAATTAAACTGATGCTAGATACTTTGCAATGGTTTTCAGTTAATACCCGTTTATTTTACATGACTATGACCTTTATTTAAAAATTGAAGAAAGGCCTACTTCCTTCCTATTTCAATGAATTCATAATAAGAAAAGATGGCACACGAATGAGGACTGACTTTCATATTCACAGAACGAATTCCAGTATGAGCATGAGATCTCTATTTTTCAAAGGGTTAAATGAATTCAACAAACTACCTATGCATATAAAATCATCAGTATCTTCATCTTCTTTCAAATCATCATTATCGAAGTATGTTAAAACTCGATGAATGTTGGACGGGTGGGTATTGTATGGAAATGTTTATAACATATTATCCTATATTCAATAATTGTTTCTTTACTTGATATTGTCCTCAACCTGTATTAAGTTTTCAGTATTATAAGCTTGATTGTTTAGTTATCTGTTGACTATATGTTAAATTTTCTTTTTTCTTTTCAGTATTATTGTTAATGGTTTTTAAATATGTGTCTTGTATAACTATAACTATGAATTGCTATTGTGAATTTTATACATATATATGTGTGATGTTGAATGTTTTATGGATGCTCGAGATGTTTGTATATTAGGCTTTCCTATTTTTCAATAAACTACTACTACTACTACTTCGAAATATCCAGGTGTTGCGTGAGTCCATATAGAATTGTGAATTGTGTGAATTTCGTCTTTCGGTTTGACTTAAGGTATACGGTTGTTTCAACAATCTACTTATACAAAGTTGAACTTTAGCTCCTAGGAACCAAAAGTGTTGCCTTCAATTGAAGAGCTAATTTTGGTATTGAAATGGACGACTTTTGTGTCGGTTGCATAAATACTTAAATTCTTATTGATGGTTACCTAGTTGGAAAAATGGAATACTTCACCTTTTGAAACTGAATGAAGTGTCTCTGAGCTGAAATAGCCGTTTCCCTATTTCGTCCTCTCACAGCAGGAGGAAGGATATGTAAAATACAGAAGAATGCTCGAACCAACTTGCTCCAAGCTACAAGAAACGCATGGGTATAAGGTGAAAAATAATACAAAACTGAGGATATAATCTATGCATCAAGTAAGGGTAATACGCCGCTGCTCGAGGTATTATACCGCAGTCACAGAATACTCTGAGTATTCTGTGCCGCAGTTAAAAGAATATTTATCAAACGTATAACGAAGTGTTCCGCCAAAAAAAAGTAAGTTGATGAATCATTCTTTGGCATAATCCTATTGAAATTCACCAAATCTACTTAGATCGTACCACAATATATCAGGTTTTATTGAAATTAAAAACGGTGTACCACAAGGGAGTGTGCTGGGTCCGTTACTTTTTATTATTTGTATAAATGATTATCCGGTTAGCTATGCAGACAATTCAAATCTCATTTGACCAATTGACAACTTTATTCATTTGGAAAACACAATATCAACCAATATTTCATCAGTATCCCCATATTTCAACAAAAAAGAATTGATTCTAAACACCACAAAAACAGATTGCATTGTTTTCAAAACGAGCCGCAAAAATATCAACATTCCGGAGTCAATTCATCTGAGAACCGAAAAAAAATTATATTTCTCTACCGATGCCAAAATGTTAGGTATATATACGGTAGATGACAAACTGAATTTTGAAATGCATATTGATCTGATCGTCTTGCAAAAAAACTTGCACCTAAATGTTTTGCAATAAGAGTATTGAAAAGAAACTTAAATTTGGAGGCTCTGAAAACAGCATACTATAGGATCGTTTATCCGTTTCGAAGAATGGAATTTTGATTTGAGGTGGAAGTACTCTTTCAGTACGTATTTTTCTAATGCAAAAAAGAATCGTGAGAACTATGCTGAACATGAAATACAAAGAATCTTGTCGTGGTATTTTCAAACATCACAAAATGCTAACAGTATATGCGATCTATATATTTATGTATGTGTTATTTTTGTACATGATAAAAAATAAAAATTCGATAGATTAATAAATACTGAAAAAGGACCGCACTATTGTATGTAGCTATTAAATTTTGTAACCATATACCCTTGGAAATCAGAGTAGGACTGTACCAAAAAAGGAATTTTTAAAAAACATGTTTTCGATCTATTGTGTGATAAAGAACCATATTCAAGAATTCTATGAGGAATAACTTATATTATTTTTCTTTATTATGTGATACCTACCTATATTATTCTCGTTGACCATGTTATGTGTAATCTGTTCTTTTACAATAATAATGTTTTGACTGTGATATTTTAATCAATTCAATGTAGGAATGGGTATTATATTTTCAATCATTCAAGTTTTGACGACAATTTACACATATATTTATATTTATAAAAATCATGGAAACCATCGATCCTTCTCAAAGTGGTACAGATTTTTCCAAAGAAAAAACAAAACACTATGTCGGTCGACCACAAAGTTCAATTACATATTTTTTCACTTTTTGTGACTAGTTTCGGATCAAACCAATATCTTTACAGGTACTGTATATTGTGTCTGAAGATGGCTGTCTGATCCGAAACTAGTCACAAAAAGTTAAAATTTTTGTAATTAAACTTTGTGGTCGACCGACTTAGTGTTTTGTTATTTCTTTGTTTATATCGATAAGTCTGTAATATGACTTTTACCTAACCTGACCTTTATACTGATGTTATTAATTGAAAAAACTAATATTTTCGATTTGTTCATCATCCACGCGTGTTTACTGTCTGACTGCATAGCTGACAGTAATATAGCTGCATGAACATTGTTGCCAAATATTGACTTGGAACGAAAATATCAAACTGCGGCGTATTACCCAGCGCGGCGGCATATTCACCCAATTCACTCTATAGCGAAGTGAACACAATAATATATATCTATCATTTCATCATCAGATGAATTTGATTTTCATCAGGTTCAAGCATCAAGATTCTAACTGATTTTTTCGATTTTTTTGAAATTTGCACCATAAAAATTCAACGTCCACAGTTTTGCGAGAAATAAACTAAAGATGCAGGAAGCGATCGATTTTGACTAGGTATATCATTTCAAATTGTGTAACACCGAGGACAACACTTGTATTATATGTCATTCATGCATTCGAAAAACTATCTTCATGTACTGATTTATTACATACCATTATCTCCCATGTCATTTGTTATTTCTTCAGATTTCGAGTGTAAAGTATGGTGATAAACTTCGAATATCTTATTTATATAAATTGGAAAAGTGTCTGACAATTTTTTGGCATCTGGATACATTAATTTGAATTCTAATGATATCTGAAAAATAAAAATACTGATGAATAAGAGATCTTAGAAATATTTACGGATAACTGTTTTCAACAATCTGAGATTGACATTGGCAACTTCTTGTTGTCTATTTTATTGGAAAATGAACATTTGATGAAGATTTCACTGTATCTATATTGTTCGAAAATTCCTTGAAAAAATGAATTACATATTCGATTCCAGTACTATCTCTTTCAAAATGATACTGCCGAAACAAGTTGCTAAAATAGTGTGGATATCGATCTCCGGGACTATTCATTCAATTCCGCGTTTTGACTGTTAATATTCTTCAGAGATAAATGAACTGAAACTGCTTTGATTCAGAATTATGTGATTTTTTGCCAGTGGTTTTTGAACAGACTTCGCCATCTTGTCTTTTTCGATTTTGAACTCCTCAACATTTTTCATTGTGAACTATACTCGATTAACTTTTGAAATAAATACATATAAAACATATAGATATATAAAACCGATTTCAGAGCATAGAAACCAGAAACTGAATGTGAATCCCAATTTTGAAATATATCATGAGCTTCAATAAACCAAACTCGAGGTTCTAACTGACCATATTGTGCACTTCCAAATATGTTTTTAGTATTCACGAATCGTCAATCTCAGTAATCTCACTATTGTCTCTCAAATAGTGAACAATTGAAATCAGTTCTTGCTTATATCACAGTTTAAGGAAAGGTGAAAAACACCCAATTGTGTGAAAATACATACCAATCCTTTCGTATCAAAGAACCTGGGATACTTGTTATAGTCACATCCAGTTTTCCTCCTATACCAAAATGTTTTCTTAGTGATTTCATGAATTTCTGCAGCATCATTGCTGCCATCTTTATACTTCATTGTTTCAACAAGATTTTCCTGTTCATCGACATGTTGAGATGATTTTTCAAATTCATCGGATTGTCGTCCTGTGTTCCTTCTACTTTCAACATCAGCATTCTTCTTCCTAAATATCGTTCTCAATCTTGTCGTAATGAAACCTTTTTGCGTTGCAGGTTCATAGAAGGCCTCCTGACAACCAATAGCTAATTATTAAAAATTCACCAAGTTGGTCAAGAGTTTCAGTAAAACTCAGGGACCAGGATTATCATATCAGGCGCCGTGGTAGTATGATTCATTAGTACACCAAGATGCTTATTATTATTATTTTTTCATTCCTTGTATAATACACGAAGGGAGTATCTTTGACCGACTAATTGGAATTCCTTATAGAATATTACAAAAATCTTCGTAATCTTCCATGCGACGTAATTTGTGATGATTATTCATTCTGAAACTTTTGTTAGGTGAAACTCGATTGATTCCAAAATATCTTCGGAATATATTCTGTGCATTCATACTGCTCAATATAATATTGATACTTACATAACCTTTTGGACTGTCTGGATCTTTGAGTTTTGGAAACACAACCACTATAGACCTTGCTAGCTCTTCTCTGGAATAAGTCGATGGCATAGAATTTCTGTCGAAGAAACCAATCAAATAATCAACAGATATATTCACCAGCTTCTTCCGGTATGTATCATTCAAGCAGTTGTTCTTCTTATAGTATCTTATTATTTCTTTACCTTCGGATACTCCTAAGAGATGATCCAAGAGATTCTGCGAAACACGGACATCTTTCAAGTGGAGATTTGGAGATATATATACCTGGTGACACAGGGTATAGGAGCACCCCTGTAACTTCTGCATTCATGAACGGACTTTTATGAAATTTGGTACAGTTATGTATGCAACCATTTCAGATTTGATCACATTATAATTCTATATGACAGACATCCGGTTTTTCTGGAAATGCAAGCAACTTCGTTTTTTCAAATGTATATTTTTTGGTATTCAAATTTAACAAGTCGAAATAAGTGCAATCTTATGACAAGATTCAGACATTGTTTTTCCACAGCTTACTCTTTTTAATGTTCTGGTTCCCAAGGAAAGGGATTTCCTGTAATCTTCAAGGAGCATCGTGAGAACCAAGGGAGATGAGTAAGGAATTGGTGTTCTTCTTGAATTTCTGGAGGTAATATGCATCGGGGAACACCTTTAGTCTCCAAAATGATCACGAAGGTGTGCGAAGCCTCAACTCGACGGGTTAATCTCGCGGGGACTGCCAAGGGAGTCATAAGCAACTGACTGGAAGTGAGATAGCTCCTGGACCGGAACAGAAAACCAAGTTCTTGGGATGCATTTTCAGCAATTGATCTCACGTGAGCTTCCCAAGAAAGGTTATTGCTGATAGTGATATCCAGCTCGGTGAGATCGACTGTTCTAGAGAAAAGGTATGCTTGTGTTTTGTTTGTATTGAAATCCACCAAGTTATTGGATCTCCATTCGAGAATCGTTGTCAAGTCCATATTTATGTTGTCAACATTTCTCCCTCGTTCGTTTCTGATTTGCTTGGCTGGTATTGGAGCCCTGAAAGAGAAGGCGGTAAGGAGGGTACTATCATCCGCGAAGCTGTGTACTGGACATGAAGTTGCTTCCAACAAATCGTTGATATGGAGCAGAAATATAGTTGGTGCTAGAATTGATCCTTGCCGAACACCAGCATTTATGATAAGAGAGTCAGATGAAACTCCATCGACCACTACATGGAAAATTATTAGAATTGCGAGGATATTCATGAAACTAGCTGTTGATATTTGAATGTATACAATTTGATACTGCACCAAAATGAAAAAATAATATGTCATTTTTTTCCTTGAAATATATGTTCTAGAGAAACATGTAGGTAGCCCATAGGAGTTCAACTTGAAACAATTGAATTTTTGATCAAAATGTGATGTGACTGTAATGATTTCTCGATAATTGATACATAAAATAGATTTTCAGAAAAAATATGTTTCTCTAGTATGTGGGACTCATTGTGAATATCTATGACCACACATCGCATTCATCCACGTGATAAAATACAATAACAATTATAATTTACACATTTCCAAAAGAAGGACATTTGACACAAAGATTGCACTTGTTCTGACCTAGAATATGTGGAAATATACAGGGTGTTCCATTTCATAGAACAAAGTTTCTAGCATTTCTAGAGAAACCGGAAACCAGCCATATCGGATTGTGATGTGATTAAATCCGCAATTCCTGGAGAATCCGTTCACGAATGCAAAAGATACATGGATGGCCTGATACTCTGTGCCACCTTGGTTGAGTATTGAGGAATATAGCCATAACTGACCAAAACATTGAAAAATATCTTTTTCGTAAAATGTCTTTAAGCATTACTTCATAATGAAGATTGATTCGGTCTTTATGGCATATATTTTGATATATTCTAGAATTTGAGTGATTGGATTGAATCAAATTATGATATACTTACATCAGGCGATATCATGATTCTAGACTGCGACGTTACTGCTCTTTTTTTACTATTTTCGAAATCTGATTCGATCTCAAAATCCTCAATCCTCCTAACGATGGTTGGAGTTTTTGGCACTGATCTAGCGCCCATTTGAATTGAAGGTATATCAGTATCAGCTATTTCCATCTTGAAAGTATCTAAAAGAATGATTCCTTATTCAGAAACCGATACGAGATTCGTTCAGTGAATGCAAGCACATAGTGAGATTTATACAGTGTCATATGGAACCCAGCCATGCATGACCCAATGTTTGTCAACATTTCTTGAGAAGAAAAGTCTTTGATTAGTGACATGACCATATAATAGGTGTACAACAAGTGACTACACCTTTTTCAATTGTTATTCAGGAATTATAAGATGTAATTCAGAAAGTATAAGTTGTAATTCAGAATATTTAATTGTAATTCAGAAAGTGTGACTTGAGATTCAGATTAGTAAATTGTTATTCAGAGAGCGTAATATGTGATTCAGATTAGTCAAATGTAATTCAGAAAGTGTAACTTGTAATTCAGAATGATGGAATGTAATTCAGAAACCGTCAATTGTAAGTCAGAAAGCATAACTTGTAATTCAGAAAGTATCACTTATGATTGATTCTATAGTATTTATGAATAACAAGTGATGCTTTCTGAATTACAAATTGCGCTTTATGAATTACAATTGACTATTCTGAATTACAAGTTACACTTTCTGAATTACATTTCACTGATCTGAATTACATGTTATGCATTCTGAATTACAATTGACTTATCCGAATTACAATTGACGCTTTCTGAATTACAATGAACTATTCTGAATTACAAGTTACACTTTCTGACTCACATTTTACTAATCTGAATTACAATTGAAGAAGGTGTAGTGTCAACTGTCAATTATTTTGAATTTCAGATTTTGATATTACCTAGAATTTTTCCAATGATTGGTGATTTCAATGCTTCAAATGCAATAGTGGAAATAATGTTCATCATTCATGTTCAATACATGTTTCTACTCAAGAAGTAGAGAACTAATTTACCGACAATTATAGATTAAGTGTGGAACAACTTTATTGTGTCGACTTCTGCCACGCAGATCATTGAATTACATTCTTCCATAATCTGCATGATAAAAAAACTGATCTATCTTTCCCAATTGTCTAATAATTGTGCTTCAATTGAGTCAAGAACACCATATCACCTGCCATAGTGATAACAGGATATTGATCCATATTACTGCTCAGCAGACACTAGACAGAAATTTTCAGACCTCTGGCTGAAGAGAATACTGACCCATCGATAACACATTATAAAAGATGTTTTATAATTGGATGTCAATATCTAGGGAGGCGATTCCTGGGCCCATTCTGAGAAGAAAGTTTCATATGAACGTATTACCTAAACGTCCTAACTTTTGAGATACAGGGTGGTGAAGTTCTCAAAAATTTTTATTTTTTTATTAATATCTGTAATACCACTTCAGATATTCTAATGAAATTTAGCATACATGTTTAATGTATCAAGAGACATCAGTGAGTGTACCACTTTTTTGTTATTGCCACCAGCAGCGTTCGTATGGAATTTCGCATACCTATTTTGGCAGACATTGATGGTACGCACTGATTAATCTCGAAATTGAAATCATTCCTGGAATTCCCAATCGTTTATAAGCAAATTTGATCAACATTTTTTTCAATCTGATGCACGGTTTCCGCTTAATAAAATAAAATTTGTTCACTACATAATTATAGCAATATCGTTAATATGACAATATCACAATGCAGAGAAATAGATTTTATTTTTTAGATCAAATTTCAGAAATACCATTCATAGTTCATGAACTTGGTATTCGTATTTCGCATTTTGGAATTATAACTTTTCATTGTAGTAAGCTATATTAATTTTTGAGAACTTTACCACCCTGTATCTCAAAAGTTGGGACGTTTGGTTCATACGTTCATATAAAACCTTCTTTTTAGAATGGGCCCAAAAATCGCCTCCTCGAATATTGACATTCAATTATGAAACACCCTGTATAGCCTCCCAGTGAACACACAATGAAAAACGATTAGGATGGTAGCAACAACGTCACTAATTGAAAACTTCAACGTTGAAATTCGATCGAAAATATCCAAGAATTCAACAAATGTCAATGCACAACAACTACTATCAAACGTTGAAAATGATGTGTTCCACTAATTGAAAAGACATCTTGAAAAAGGACCATTGAAAAGTTACCCAAAATAACAAGTTCATCACATGAGTGAAAAAATCTATCGAAACAAAACAGAATAGGTTATGTTTATGTATGAAATGAACCAGATTATTGTCATTGTTATTGTTATATGAACGGAGTAACTCATTTAGAACGTCTATTAAATTCATAACAAAATTATGAATTGATGCCATAAAATGATATATTCAACTCAATTCATAGACCATATCTCTAGAGTCGTTTTGAGTAACTACATTAAAAAAAAAAGAATTTGAAACGTTCATTTCACTCCAGAACACGTGGGCACACTTGAAGCTGGACATACTGTAGGTGTATGTACATGGTAAAAACAACTGGAATTGAGAAATAACAAATTTTATGATTGAATTCGTAGGAGTAGGAGCCTATACAGTGTGTCCCACTTACCATGCTCACCATGGGTATTTTTTTAACGGTGAGAGACACGAGGTCGGTTAAATGACACCAAATGTGGAGTTTGTCAAGGCCAACTATAATGTGAGAAAATATTTTGATAAAATCTATCCGTTTTTGTTTTATACGCAAAAAACAGATTTTGATCATTTTCATGTCTCCTCCGTAACTTCTTTATTCATGAAAATAATCAAATAGGAATTTCATATTCTCATGGCAGTTTTTCAAAGTGATTTCGAAAAAAATATGAAATTTATACCAACTCTTCTAGAATTTGAGATATCAGCACCAACTTTATTTTTTCAAATGTAAGTCAAAGCTCACTATGACTCAGTTACAAATTTTTTTTTTCTCTCACAGATGATATGTCGCAGTAATAGTTTTGTGTTGATAACAACGGAGTTATCGTCATTTATACAAAAACAAAAATATTATTTGAAAGCCGCCATCTTGAATTTATGAATTTTAACAAAAAAATCATAATCTCCGACCTCAAAAACCCTATAACTTACCAATTTTGAATGGGATCGGACCAAATCTTGTCCGCCATCTTGGAGCAGCCATTTTTTATAATTTCAACAAAAATTCCATAAGTGAGTGGGACACACTGTATACCTAGTTCCTGAGTTTGGGAAAAGTACTATGGTTAGTAAGAAAAAATATCGACTGAGAGGAAGATATCATATCGTAATTAAACATTTATATACAGTATATCGATTTATTCAAGTCGTATACGAGGTATATGTAGAGAATATCAATTATTTTGCTCGAAAGTAAAGTACATTCATTTTCAGTATAGCATAGGAATGCAAGTTTTCTTTTATTCATTCATTTGATTCTGTAGGACGAGTTGTCTCGATGGTAACGGACGAGTTCACTTGTTATTATTCCTTGGTTTACAGAGGTTCATACGACCAGACTCCCAATTTCATATCAAGTTGTCAAGTATACAGAGTGATTCAGGTTTTGAGGAACAAACTGGAATGGGTAATAGATCTCATTATTTCAATTAAGAAAGTTCATATAAACATGAGTCCGATCTCGATCAACGTTTAGTAAAATAGGCGCAAATCACTACATTCATCAGATGAACAACACAACAAAATTGCATCATCCTCTATAAGTATCATGGTAATATTTGACATAATTTTGTATTATAGAATTTTGTAGTGGTATTATTGAAAGAATCTAGTGACTGGCGCCTATTTTACTGAACGTTTGGAATTTACTACCGCCTTTTTTTTCAAGAGCATGGCCTAAATGGATTCATGGTTTTGTAGAACATTGAAAGCGAATTGAGCTCTTAAATCAACTCAGCTTGTTTGATGGAGAAGGGTACTTTAAGGTTTCTTCGCCCTGGACGAGATCTGACATCCAGCCAGGTGGCATTTCATATAACTTTTCTGTTTGAACGTTTTACGGCATATCGGGCACTGGAACTGTGGAGGTTTGCCGCATTCGAATTGCTTATGCCGCCGCAAACTCCTCTTATACCCATATTTTTTCGAGCAACGATCACAATTATAGTAACTATCTTGCATAACACCTGAAAAATGAAAAGTCTGACATTTTTTTTACACTAACTGTAATGAGTATTTATTCGTGGGTAGGAGTGGGTGATCGTGATTTTTGATTATCGATTATCGATAATCACATGGTATTGATATTATTCTAATACCTACCTCCTGTCCCTATCCTCCCTAGGAACGCACGATGTTCTTTGAACATTATAGGGATTCCCTTTCGTGTGCTCCAAGCGATAAAAAAAAATATCGATAAGCGAAGATCAACACTCCCATATGACCTCCAATGCTGTCTTTTTAGTTGAAATGGACTATATGGGACGATTAAAATTAACAAACTACGGATATTTCGAAAATCATGGATAATCATCAAAAATTTTATCGAAAATTTTATCTATAGTTATCGATATCATCAATATTATCGATATAATCGATATTATCGATATTATCGATATAATCGATATAATCGATATTATCGATATAATCGATATAATCGATGAATCTATTTTATCGTAATTATCGATGAACCGATAATTTTTTATCTGAACTATTATCGATATTATCGATAATTATCGATAAAGAAATACATTGAGAATTCGCATTCTCCATGTGAGGAATATATTAATTCTTTCTCGATTTATTCAACAGAAAACAACTACCTTTCTGGCTATATGCCACAACAAAGATTGAATTACATCTATTGAACATACACGATAAGAATTTGAAAACAAAATCTTCTGAAGTAGAGAATTTGCATTCTCCTCCATATAAAGATATGCATATAATATAATTCTGAATATTCAACAGAAAACAACTTTCCTGGCTATTTGCCACGTCGAACATTGAATTATATATCTGTTGAATATCCAAAAAGAGAGCATGAAAAATCAAAATCCTCTGGAATTGAGAATTGACATCATCTCTCAAATCGAATAGAATAATATAATGTATTATGATATAAAAATATAACTTACCGATATGTTCAGTATTGATATGAAAATTGAATTGTATAGGAGAAGTATACTTTCATGAACTCTGATCTTGATGAGCATGTAACTTTCAAAAAAATCATTCGTATCAGTGATATGGAAATTATATTTCTCATGAACAGGTTATATCCTTTTTAGTTCCTAGGGGCTTAAGTTCAACTTAAGCTCCTAGGAACTGAAGTTCAACTTCAACTCCTAGGAACTGAATGTGTTGCCTATAGCAACATATCTATTTTTGTGTCAGTAATAGAAACGTCAATTCAAGAGCTAATTTTGGTATCAAAATGGACGACTTTTATGTCAGTTGCAGAAGAAAAATATTATAAAAAATATGGCGTTGTATAGAAAAAAAATAGCCATGTAACTTCCATCACTCGTAGAACAATGACTATTTTGCACGAACGGAAGCATTTTAGTGCTCTAGTGCGATGTGATACTGCGTGAAAGTTAAAGTAGGATAAAATGATTCTAATTCAATTTCAAGTATCTTCTGTTCTTCATTTAGCCCTACCTATGTACAATATCATAATTAGTTCTTATTCAAATCAAGATACCTCATCGTGATAAAAGGATGATCCTATCAATCAAAATCCGAGTGGGGTAGGAACTGAAGGATATCGATTAAAACATTGTCTGTTTGAACAAAAATTTTTATGTTTCATCTACAAACAATAATATAAAATTCGGGACTTGGTTCACCTGATCGTTTACTATATATATATAACTCAAGCTTGAAGAATGAAGATTTAGACCAGCGTTTTTTGTAACATTTATTATTCAGGTAGTTTTCAATTATTCGGTATTTTCAAAAAGAAGATATTGAAACAAAAAAACATTTTTTTCATTTACCCCCTTCTCACAAAGAGAATCTACGCCCTTGGTCCTTTCACTACTTGAAGTTTTTGAACGAACATAGAAATTGTTCAAAGACGTCTTCTCCCCTTCTCCAAAGCAGTTCTCATGATTCTTTCGGAAATTCCCAATGTCGAAATGAAGAATTTCTTGCATACCTTGTGACACTCTTCGGCATGTCTCAGAGTGTAAGTCTGCGGAAAAAAATCCCAAAAATATGAAAAAGATAATCGACGTGTCTGAGCTTCTTGCTATTTGCCTAGAGATCCGAAATTTGCACATTTCATTTTTATTTTTATCTGATGCTAATCAAAGAGATACAGGAAAACAGAAGACACTTTGCTATTGCCACATTTCAAGCTCTAGATAACAGAATTTCAATAGACCAACTCATGATGGCGGTGTTGGTATGAAATATGTATATCAAACACAAATACAAATTTAAAATTATCTTATGTGATCAGAAAGAATACATTGAACACATGGCTGAAGCTGACTATCTTAAAAGATTATTCGATTCTCACCAGGACGTATATACATACCTCCAAAATCTAATTAAACAGACTTTCTGGAAGAAACTGAAGATATCTTCTCCAATAATTTTTCTTCATTCAACAATATATTTGTATTTTTTGTTGGTGACTTCAATCTGATTATGTTTCAGTTCTTGAATCATTTCATTTTATCCAGCTGATAAATGAGCCCACACGGTATTCAGCTGTTTCAGATCTCATTATAACAGAATTCGATAATTCAGATTGTACCCCTTATGAAGATGGCAACTTGATAGCTGATCATTGTCCTATTGCTTGTCAATTTGTAATAATCACTGTTAAGTCCACGTTAACTCAAACATTGAGAGGAGAATTACATATCGTATAATTAATGGTATCGACACTCATAAATTCCAACTCAATCCCATGGCATTGCCCTGGCATGTCTGTCACAGTCACAACTCTTGACATTGATTCAATGCTCCGGAGAAAACTCGCGACATAGATATAAGAAGGAATTCGCCAGCATACTTCGCATACACTTAGGCCCTCCGCACACGGGTCGATCGGCGACATGGGCGATGCAATTCGAATCGTACGACGGTCTCCCCTCTACTCGACTTCCTAAGCAAAGCATCTGGATCCCGCACACGGGTCGTTGAGTGGTCGTCTAGAAACGTACGATTTAAGATCTCCTCGTTTTCAGTCTCACGCGATTAGCAAGGAAGCAGTTTGATCGAGTGAATCGTGCGTCTCAATGGAGAAAGTTGTTCAATAATTCTTCAATCATTGTGAATATTTGTGTTACCTACCTTAGTTCTTTACTTTCAGTAACTAGAACATATAATCTTATGTTTCCAATTTATACTCTCAACTTCAGGAACTGTTTGATTTTTTGAAATATATGAATCTTACATCAATGTTATTAGTATGTGTTCTTCTGCGCTGACACATTCCCTCATATTTGAATCCATATAATTTATGGCTGGAGCAAGAGTTTCCACTAAATCAATAATATATGATTCCTTCGACATTCTATAAAATGCCAAAAATTTTGTGTCACTCTCTTGCATTTCACTTGCAGTGAAAATTTCGTGCAATGTACGGATGCACCCATAAACTTCGTTGTCTTCTTCTTCTCCTGATCTGCCGGTGCCACAAAAACATGAATATGTCCTCCTCGCCATTGGAACTGCTCATTTTTAGCGAAACATTTCTTTTTGAAGTTGCAAAAAATAGAGTAACTGAGTTGATCAGACGCGAGTCGACTACACAAAACGTCGACCCATATGCGGATGACACACACTCCCGTCTCTTGAATCGTACGAATGCAGAAATTGTGACGTCATTGCAATCGCGTCGCCCATGTCGCCGATCGACCCGTGTGCGGAGGGCCTTACTGAACTAAAATGGCTAGATATGAATAATCGAAGACGGCAGCACTTGGCTTGTCTATGCTTCAATTTACTCAAGACAAAATTTCCATCTCATCTTCATGATGAGCTTTCATTAAGAACATGAATAAATAATTCAAATATTCGACATCGAACATTTATCAGTATAATAATGGAGATGGAAAGCCCTAATTTCGAGCGACTATGGAAAATGAAAAAACTCCACCGCCTTGAGTGAGAGTCGAACTCACAGCCACTGAGTTACATGCCCAACGCTCTGCCAATTGAGCTAACGGGACATCCGTCGATCAATCGGCAGGGAGGTCGAGTTCTCATCACAGGCGGCAGAATCCTTCCAATTCCCGAAATCACTCGAAATCATGCACTATACAAAGCATCGCCGGCAGGATGGTATATACAATTTCCATATTTCCCCGTTCGTCCTCTGGCATTGTCTTTCCTTGTATACGGAAAAGTCCGAAGGCATACATCAGTATACCCAAACACTGTAAGGCATTGTTCAAACGCAGCTTCACATATGAATAAGTCATTTCTAAATATCTCTTTCGATATTATTGTAATATAATGTATCTGAGCACAACACACTCATTATAGAGAATTCTCATTGAACTTCCATAAGATTTACGCTAGGACTTTTTGGTTGTGAAAAAAAACATATTCCAGAGACTTCAAAATGTGCTACTTGGAAAACCGATTCATTGCACTCTGAAAATATTATTGGACCTCCTAGCAACAGGTCGAGAGTGCAATTATGCCACACATTTTTTTAAAATAATTGTGAATACGAAGTCATTCAAATAGAAGCAATGATTGGATTCGGGAGCTTATCAGCATGCTATTTACTAAATCGTAGGTTTATTCAAATGACTGTTGATACCTGCGTGAACCGCTTCCTGGGATGTCCCTTTTCCGGCTGATGTCTCTCAACCAGATCTGCTATGTACTCCCGTTGTTGGACTGCCTTCTCCAAGTTCCAAAAATGCTCGAAAATCGTGTTTCTTGTAACATTATCCACCGATTTGCTGCAGCTGTACTTGCATCTTTCGCAGGAGATGCCGATAGGAGGGCGGCCTACGAGGTCTGAGCATCCACGGCGCAAGATCTTCCGCGAAAAAAGATATTTCCTCTTCCAAACTGGAAAGAAGATGCTCAACATGAAGCTCCAGTGATTATGATCATTTGAACATCGAGCTTACTTGTATGACACATCACATTTTGGTCTCGATGTCTTGGAAGACGAGTGAGTAGAAAACTAATCCAAAAGAACAGAGATATACATATGCTTCATAGATCTGGAGAAAGCCTTCTATAGAATGAATTGAGAAGACATATGCGGAACGCTGAAGAAAAATAAAATTAATGACAGAATAATAGAAATAATCAAGGATATGTACAAAGAAAATAAGAACATAGTGAGTATTAACAACGAAGAATCCAAATAATATCGGAGTAGAACAAGAATGTGTGCTGAGTCCATTATTGTTCTCGATCGTATTAGATGAAGCTGTGAAAGGAGCGAAGAAGGAAATGGAAACAATCAAAGAAGGGGACTGGAAAATGCAAAAAAATTGAATCAATGAGCTGATGTTTTCAGATGATATGGCCGTAACAGCAGATTCAGAGAAAAACCTACAACATAACTTAGAAATTTTGAATGAAGAATTGACAAGAATAAACATGAATATTGAATTAGATAAGACGAAGAGCATGATGATATCCAAGTCAAACAGAGAGCATACCATACACTTGAACGGAATTCCACTAGAACAAGAGAAAAACTTCAAATACCTGGGATCAGTAATAGACAATAATGGAAAAATGGACGGAGAAATGAACGACAGACTGGGAAAAACCGGAAAAATGTTTACCATGATGAAGACAATTTTCTTTGGACAGAAAGAAATACCGAGAAACATAAAAATAACAGTAGTCAAGAAGATAATACCCCAACAATGATGTACAGCAGCGAGACATGGACTCTAACAGAAAAACATAAATCACGGATAAATTCAATGGTGATGGAATTTCTGAGAAAAATATAAAACAAAACGAGGAGAGACAGAATTAGGAATCGACCATTCAGACAAAATCTACAGATTGAATCTATAAACGAAAAAATAATAGGAGGACAGCCAAGACGGTTTGGCCATGTGTGTCGAATGCCAGACAACAGACTAACGAAAAGAGTATATACGAAGCGCGAGTGCAAGGAAAAACAGTATAGGAAGACCTAGAAGAAGATGGAATGATGGAATCAGAGAGGAAGCTGATAAAAAAGGCATGATATTTGAAGAACTCAAGGAACTGACACAAAATAGGAGAACATGGAGAGATATATAGAGGAGAAAGTCACAACTCGATACGCCTCACGACTAACGGTATAGAGGCATAGGATTAAGTAATTAAGTAAGTCTATCAACAAGATCTGCTATGTACTCTCATTGTTGGACCATTGTCTACATTATCTACAGATTTTCTGCAGCTGTACTTTCATCCTTTGCAGGAGATGCCTAGAGAAGGGCGGCTTACGAAGTCTGAGCATCCACGGCGCAAGATCTTCGCGAAAAAAGATATTTCTTCCAAACTGGAAAGAAGATGCTCAACATGAAACTCCAGTGATTATGATCATTTGAACTTCGAGCTTACTTGTATGACACATCACATTCTGGTCTCGATGTCTTGGAATGGTAAGTTATATTTTGTTGTGTGCTGTTTTCTTATGGGTCGATATAGAGTTGTATTGTTATGAATTGAAAACATATACTCAGTTAAGTAGTGCCAATTTCAATCATCATGATTAGGCTCATATATAAATGGAAATGATGTTTTGAATATTCAGAAAATATTTAGCAGAGAGTAGATTGAATTTCGCTATAACATCAAATTCTGCATGAACTGCTGTGGAAGTATCATGAATTGGAAGAGGATTGCCAATTATTCGCCATCTACCAGATTCCAAGGAATTGAACTGACGGTAATTCGCAGATAAATAAGTTCGATGAATTCAAATTGTACAAATTCTATTTGGGCGAATAGCGATGCTGATATTCAATTATGTAATTTTTCCTGTTTATAAATGTATAGGAGAGTATTCATGCGGAACATTGAAATAGAATCTGGTAGTTTTGGCGAAACAAATCCATGTACTTCTTATTTAGAAGAAACGGACAATGCTCGGTTGTATGAAATGTAGCTGATTTTCAATTGAGCTGCCTTCTATAATTTCGAATATACGGGGATATACCATAGAGTATAGTTCCACCAAACAGGAATTTAGAATTATTTCCATCCCCACAGTAACCAATTAATATTGTTATACACAAACACAGCGCGATGTCAAATTTCGAAAATTTCCAAAAAAATCGAACAAAAAATAATCGCATCTAATACAATTCGAATTTCAAAATAAACAAGGTTATACATCTCAAACTTCCTACACAATTATAAATCGTGTCAGCTCAACAGAATTTTTCATATTATTCCATCTGTTGAATTGACATTCTTTGTAGTTATGCAACAAGCTATCGATTTGTAACCCGAATATTTTGAAATACTTATAGTATTACTACTGAAAATAATTTAATATAAATAACCAAACATCATTTTTAATCAAAGAGAACAATGAACATTGAACAAATAAAGAGTTGATACTACAAATTTTCATCTCATTAATATTATTTAAAAACAATTCCACGAACTGTGATTGTTTGATAAAACAAATCTGAATAACGCGCATAAATTGTAAATGCCTATCATTCACCTAATCCTGATTATCATTAGACAAATTCTGATTCGAATAGCTGTAAACTTCTGGAAAATAAATTAACTCAACATCATAAGTATTGAAGAAAAAAACCACTCAATTCCATCTTGAAACGACTATAATGTATGAAATTGATCAGCATTTTAGTTCTTTCTTGTTCGAATCTTCTATCTTCAGTTTCATATCAAAAATCAATCATGAAAAGAATCATCAGAATCACAAGGTTCTGATCCTGAAAAATTCAATACCTTTTATTTATTTTTAGGAAGAGTGCGTAGCGAACCTTGAGAAACACCTGGAAGACACATAATATATAATGGAATCAAAACTGTAATTTAAAATTAGATAGAACTATATGAAATCTGTATAAATTTATGTATGAGTACCTATACTTATAGGGTGTTATTTGAGTCTGGCCAAACTTCAAGAGATGATTATTTGGGTGATACTAAGGCGAAAAGTTCATATAAACATAGGTCCTCAAAATCCTTCGTTTTCAAGATACAGTGTGTCAGAGTTTTTGAAAAATCGTTTTCTCATTAATTACTCAAAATTCTGTTTTCCAAATTCGATGAAACTTCGTGATTTTGTTAACAATATCAATGAGTATTATTCTGGAATTTCGAGACCTTTTCAGTCACCCAATAGAATAAATTTTGTCATCAACACAATCAATACTTCCAACTTCAACATTCTATATATATATATCTTGAAAATGCAGAATCAGCCAAGAAATAGCCTGAATGAATGAACTTTGGCCAGATACTTGAATAGCACCGTGTATATTGAGGTGGAGGTGAACATTGAAATACAATCTCAATTTTCCTATTTGTTTACAAAGGAATTGAAGGATTGAGATAGTGCTTCACAATATTATGGCATGCGGATTATGTTTTTTTGGGCTATTCATTAATTCAAGCATGCCATTACATTATCCAGCTGAACAATGCACAAAAAATGAATCGAGAGACGCAGTTATATGATATATAGTGATCTTTATGGAATTTTGTCATTTCTCATAAAAATTCCTTCTGATACTCCTGTTATGGAAGCCAATACTGATGCTAATGATATGAAAATGATTACAACACATAACGATCATATTTTGTCAGCTTGTCAGACCAATCCTCCCGTTTGATTGCATGAATCAAATCTTCTTGCCTTAGTTTAGAAACTTCACGAGTATTCCTATTAGCTCCTATTGCTCCAATGAGAAAATTTCAAAATTTAAACTATATATGTCTGTAACTATAGTACTCTTAGATCACACTGTACCTATAATACCTGAAAAATCAGATTCTTTCGTCTAGTCCGTCTCTCGCTGCACTTTTTGTGCATTGTACAATTAATGAATGAAAATAAGGTTATTTGGCACTCATCATGTGTTTTTCCGAAAAAATGTTTTGTTACCTACGTATTTTCGTCTGAAGAACACGAATTTGATAATGAAAATGTGAACAAACCACTATTTAACGAGATATTTCAAGAAGAAGTTCAAAATTTCGCCTTCTCTTGGATGAATTGACAGCTACTTGCTCTTCTTATTTTCTCATTGGACACTTTATATTCTCATGATGTAGTTCAATGACACATTTTTATATAAAAAATTCAATATTCAGTAAACAATCATTCCAGATAACGGCCAGATGACGGCCATATAATCAATAATCAATCCAAATACGAGATATCAAATGTCAACAGATTGTTTTTGAACACGATTCAGCTTTTGAATGACGTTGCAAACGTCATTATTTTGAATAATATTCTTCCTTCTTTTCACCAAAAATGGATAAATCGCAAGAAAACCATATTTCTAGTTGACTTTCATATTTATAAATTGTCCAACGATGAAAAAAGAAGGGTATATTGTTCGAAATGCGATCCAAAAGACAGGCAAAAAATAAGCTGGAATTAGTAACTTCATAGTGAGATATCTTGATGAATAATGGTTTTTCACATTTTCATTTTCAAATTCGTGTTTCTCAGACAGGAACACATGAGTAACGAAAAACATTTTCGGAAATAGTGCAAAATTACCCAAAATAATTGCGAAAAACTATTGAAAAGGATTGAAATAGTTTTTCACAATTATTTTGGCATACGAATCGTGTTTTTCGGATATTCATTAATTCGCCCATGCCATCACATTGTGCTGTTGTACAATTCACAAAAAATGCACGACGAAGGAATCCGGTTGGTACATTATGATTTGAAAGTAAGTGCCTACTATAGTCACTCACATATAGTTTTCATTTCGAAATTTAGTAATTTCTCTGATTTCTCATCGGAATTCCTTCTGCAATAGGAGCTAATAGAAGTACTCGTGAATGCTGAAGATTGGATTCATGCAATCAAACGGAAGGACTGATCTGACATGCTGACGAAATATGATCTTGTGTGTTGTAGATATTTTCAATCTGTTAGCTGCATTAGCTCCAACTGCAGAAATAGCAGAAGCAATTTTAATAAGAAATGAAAAAATGTCATAATGAAAATATGTAAGATTACTATTCACCTGAAAAATCATATTCCTCCGTCTCTCGCTGCATTTTTTGTGTAGTGTACAACAGCACAATGAGCATGCAAGATGCCTACATGGATTACTGAATAGCGCAAAACACACGATTATGTAAACAAATAAGAAGAGTATGATTGCGTTTCAATGTTTTACAGAAAAGTGAGGTCGATCATCGTGCACAAGACCTCTTGAGTTAACATAACCTCATTTTTCGAGAAGCATCAGAATTTAGTGTTACTCAAAGTAATTTCTTTCAAAAGAATTCCATTGATAGGACACTTTAACCTTCAATTTCATGAATTAATATCCCCGATTATATAATACATATTAACAAATGATCACCTCTCTTCATTGGGCCATCCATTTCTTTATCGCTATTGTCTTCTATCTCCTCTTGCACATCAATGTTGGAATCATGGAAAGAATCATCTGAGTCACATGGATCAGAGCCTTAAAAAACATTTCTAATAAATAATCTCACACAGAGAGGAATTGAGATAAATTTAGTTTCATCTATTCGTAATGAACATTATATTTATAGTATATTATAGTAGTAGTTCATTCATTCATTCATTCATTTATTATGTCAACAGAAAATATTTCGATAACACTCCACAATATCACTTCGTACATCAAAAACTCAATTTGATCAGTCTTGCTGACAGAAGAGCTATTGCCGACATCAAATTTTCTTTCAAAATTATAAATGGTATCATTCATTCTCCATCCATCAATAACTTGATTTATTACAATATTCCACAATATTCCACCCGCCATTATAATCTGTTCCATACATCCATACCAAACACAAATTACTATTTGAATTCCCCTTTACATCGATGCTTGAAAAGTTATAACTCTATTTCAAACATAATAGAGATTGATATTTTTTCTGACTCTTTAACTACCTTTGTGAACAAACTTAAGAAACACTTTGTACTATCGCCTAATTGATATGTTCAGTATTTTTTTCATATACATATAAAATATTTCTACTGTATTGTATTGAATTGCAACATGACATATTTAGTAGTATATATGTGAATACTGTTTCTGGGTTCGTCCCGTTTGTATTCCTGTTTGTGAAAATAAATAAAAAAAAAAAAAAAGAAATATAATATTCACTTTATTTTTATAGTTGTTTCATTATATATTTGTCATTTCCGTAGAGCTATTTATTATCATTTATAGTAGGAAGTATATACTATGATGTCATGTTGAACGTTCGATATTCGCCACTCATGACATCATACAGAACGATCAACGAATCGAAACCGAGAAATGAAAACTCACTGACGGGTGTCTAAGCTCGCTCAGTGTTGCCAGATGTGGCGCATTTGCGCCAAAGTGACGCTTTTAAAATAAATTAAAATGGCGTGATAATTTGAACTAAATGCGCCTGGAGAAAAAAGTGGTACTTTGAAATTTGAACTCCGCATCAGCGCATTGGCACTATTAGCTAAAGACCGTTCTTGTCTTAGAAATCATTCAGAAGTGCAAAATAAAAAACAATGAAAATAGGTATAGATAACTATTATTTTTTCCATATTTTTCGGATTCTCTCGCATTGTTTCTTTTTCTTTTTCTTTTGGGCTCTCATATTTCAAATGTCGTGAAATTTTGGGGCATATCATCTGATTTGTCCCTACTACACGAATATTAAAATATTGAAATAATACTCATATTATTCATTAAAACGAGGAGACAAAATCTCAAATAATCTGGAATAATGAATGTTCCACCTCCTCGATTAACCAACAAACAGTATTGAATATCGAGAATGTTTCATATAATATACAGTGTGATTCACGGTGGATGACACATTATACGTTTTTGGAGAACACAACTCAGGATAATTCTGAAAATTTGGTGCCTCGGATTATAAGTTGTGTTCTATCGACCTGAAATATTCTCAGCGTTGCGACGTTGCCGCTTATATTGAAAAGTAGCAACAACTCTGATATTTCCAACGGAACACCCTGTATATCAATACATTTTCATATTTTTCCTGGAGAGCTGAGTCCATCGATATATCACACTTGGGGTCTAGCGGGAATAATAACAAAGGTATAGGGTGCGAAAAATCGAAATTTTTCAACTTTAACAACTATTCATAATTGATCAAAACGGTTTTCATGTTCCTATCTCAACTTTTCATGTACTATCAATTGATATTGGATTGAAATAAATACAGGTTCAATGGAGTAATTAATGTCACATTTGCGATTCTTTCTTTTACGAATTTCATCCGCATGTATGCTCCTTTCCCAGAGATAATTTTGATGACCTGTTACTTCGTATCAATTATACCTAGAAAGATGATAATTTTCTGAAGCTTTTTCATTAAATGAGATATTTCAGTTGATTTCTAAATGCCGCTGGCAGATTCAGAAACTACTCCGCAAAGATAACCAATTATAAGGAAAAGTTTCCCATTCTATACAGATTCCGAAATGGTTCAACATATGGTGTTATTCAAAACAGCCTTTTTGTTATAATAATTTTTTAGAAATGGGTCGCGTTTTCCAAACAAATTCAATAACATTTGAACCATCAACAAATGAGCCTATATCAATATTTCACAAAATCTCAAAGAACATAATATAGTGAGGCAATGAAAAATACATCAAGGTTCAGGAATCTAATGACATAAGCATTCTATACAAACAGTTACATCGATTTTCTAACCTGATGTAAGACTGTAGATTCCTGTATTCGTATTTTGATTGACAAACTGTTTGACATTTTTCAATGATGCGCCCAATTTTTCCAGATTCCCCTAAATGAGCTACCAATGTTTCAGTTAAAATATTTATTCCAAAAGAATACATTATTCATCATAGCTTTATCAATTCCTCCGGTTACAACTTGGTTCCTGTTTCTCAGTATGTTTTTCCATCAAATAAGTAGATTTTTAGAATATCGCGTTATGTTTTCTGAACATATGTCCACTTAGTTGGTCTCTGCGTCGGAACATGTTTCCACATTCTGGGCATTTGAAAGTTTTAGGCTTTCCACAAGCTAGTTTGATATGTGCTTTGAGAGAAGACTGGTGTTTGTATTGATTATCACATTTCGGACAGCGTATGGGGGTGGATACTGCAAAAATATTGCTATTTATATATCAAGGTAGAAAAGGAATCCATTTACTCTCGTGTGTGGAGTTTGATTAACTACACGAGGAAGGATATTAATTGTCGCTTCTATGATATGGATATAGGTAGAGGGCCTCGAACATATCATTACGAGCCCTTCAAAGAGTGTGGACCCGCTTGTCACCACTGACATTTCCGTATTATCATCATTTTTAGATTCAAAACGTCACTTCTGGAATATAAATGAATGAAATTGAATATGTCTTGTTTGGTAACGAATTCCAAACATTCTAAACATGATGGATACAATTTATATTTGAGTTTCTCAGAGATGAGACATCATCTGAAGTGTTCGTTGAAGATTCAAATTTCAATATTCATTTCATGGAAATACATTCTATGATACAACATTGGTATAACTACACAATGAGCTTCATGTGCCTTTGGTGTTACGCCACTGTTACACAGATACAAAGCATTTCTTCGATCTAACAAATCGATTTTCTTGAAATTGAATTGCTTCGAACTAGAGGTTTTTTCATTTGAATAGAGCAATATACACTTGTCTCAAATCAATCGGCCTGCTTGCTTCGTTTATTGCAATTTTTCATATGAATTTGCAACATAAACAGAATATTCCTTCATTGGAGAAGGCCGCGACTAAAAGTGACATTATTTTCAATTTATTTTGGTTCAAGAAAATCTCTGCTTGTCTAAAAGACTTGCAGTGACGTATATACAGCGGTACGCCTACGCCCATTCGACTCGTAAGCCACCATTCGTCATTACCGCTGTTGTTTCTTCTGAAGACGGTGCAGAGCACCTTCGTTTTTCAATGGTGAAGCGTTCAAGTGTCCTGAGTCATGGATAATAGTAGTGTGGTATCATCTTCAGAGCATTGCGGCATTCCATATTTGAGGACAATCTGCGGGGGTGAGAACTTTGTATATTCTTGTAACATAGTTGTACCTATAGTAAGGTGTTTTCCCTTCTTGATTTCAATCATACCAAAAACCATAACTACATAGCACTGTCAAGTGGCCATGTTTGTATAATCTGCACAACACACATTCGTTCAGCAGAGACCATTTGACCAGTTGCATTCATTCGGTGAACGCACTAATAGGTATAGGTAGGCAATTATCCATTCTATGTATGTTTTTCATTTTCGATTCCTGATTAGAATGATTGAACCAATAATAATATGTCTCCTTCCTTCCTGTTTCAACATACCTATAACAACTTTTATACATGCCCTTTTGTCAAACGCAGCATAGGATATATCTGGTAGTCTTGAAATTCCGTTTGTTTTCGACAATGTCTGGCTGTGTGCCTGGAAATGTTGTTTCTTCTGAAGCAAGTTTTATAAGTATACGGTTAATGATTCTCATTAACAAGCAACTCTGCGAAACACACAAAACATTCTTCATCTGATTATTTTACTCTTTTCTCTAGGTTTTCGTGGTTCATCATTCAAGCCATTTCAAGCACAGTGACATTCTGAGGAAGAAGACGAGGACAGCAAATCACAAAAATCTTGAAAAATTAATTTTCTACCTCCTAGATTGAGCTACACATAGTATTTGATGATTTTACTCTATGTATATGTTTTCATTTATATCATACATGTTTTCAGTTTTATGTTATAATAGCATGACCAAGTTTTGATAATAAAACCATTTGTTTACCAACTGTAAGAATTAATTTCATTTAATACTCAATAGTCTCAAAGTAAGCTATATTTTGATTTCCTTCAAAATGATAATCTCTTGGCACAAGAAAATAAGGATATTCCGAAAAAATATTCACTTATTATAATGAGATATTATCTATTTGAAACAAGCTCATGATTTCTTGATTGGAGAACAAAGTTGTTCAAATATGATGAGAGATTTACTTGACAATAGAAGAATTATCTTGTTCCAAACTAATTAATTCTTTCTTCGACCAATACGTACTGTGATAATGAAGAAATATCCACTCGAATCAAGTATTCTTTTATGAATAAGTCAAGAAAGTTCTGCAGAAAAATCAAACAAATATTTTCAATGCTGTTCCGCATTGAATCAAGAAATCTTTTTTATCTGTGTAAGGTTTCAAATAATAATATGTCTGCACCTGTGCATTGAAGAGGTACAGAACAATAACAATATGGCAAGCGTGTCCACACTTTCTAAGGGCGTGAAATGAGATGGTCGAGGCACGCTAGTTATAGGAATATGATTTTACCCACAAACGCATGATTTTTGAAAGCGTCATTCTGAAAATGTTTTGTTTCAGGCGGTCTATCTCTGGATAAAAAATCGATATGCGTTGTATATTCCAGCGACAACTGAGATAGTACAATGGTTAGTCTAT